CTCTCGCACTCCTCTTTTTTCTACGTTCAAGCACGTGAGTTTGCGCTCATATTTGTTTGTTTGTGTGTGTGTGTATGTGTGTGTGTGTGTGTGTGTGTGTGTGTGTGTGTGTGTGTGTGTGTGTGTGTGTTTGTGTTATTAATAACCGGTCATAGGGAGGAAAGGATATTAATGTTGCATCCGGTAACTTTCTATTCAAAATTTTAGAACACCAATTAAAAAAACCCAAAATCGTTTATTTCTCTTTTTCAGGAGGTGGTAAATGTGATTTTAAGGGCTCATCAAAAGTGTCCATCACGGCATGGAGTATAACGAGTGAGTCTTCGTATTCATTATCATCATCTGCATCAACACCAGCACAGTATTATCATGCCATCTACCACCTACTCTCTTATCACTACCTGTGACCCCACCCCCACCCCATTCCTTCTCTTCCTGGCATCATCGCTAACATCATGAACATTACTTTGCCAACATCATGACCATTAATACATTCTCTACTACGAAGACAACAACAACCACCATTGTCATCGGTAGCTCCAATGTTACTGTCATCAGACATCAACGTAGTTTTTATCGTCACCTTCAACGTCACTGGTACGTTTCTTTGTAGTCACATTTTTTGTTGTAATAACGGTCAGCAATTATCCCATAATTTAACACGAACAACCGGCGTCTACTTCACATTCAGTCAAATGGAAATAAATAAGCAACCCCTCAATGTTCTCACAGTAGCATGTAAATAAAGAAGTCCAGAATAAAAACAGCAGCAACAAACACTAAAACACCTGATACAGAGACATAGACAGTTTTTTAACAAACCATCTCCAAAGTTATGTTCACTAAGAAAAGCCAGCAACCTTCTGCGTCGCAGCAACCTTTCAAAATAAACCAGCATTTTATGACAAGTGTAGAAAACTACGGCACGGTGTGACTTTACTTTTTGCCCCCCCCCCCTTTCCTCCATCAACGCTGTATGGCCATTTTGGAGTTGATTCTTCGAAATAAATGTCAATCCTCGAGGAAAGAATGGACTACATGTATATTCCACCTTTCCGGACAGGCTTGACCGCGGGTTAACCTTTCAAATTGAACATATTATTCCACGACCTCCTTAGCGTGTGTGTGTGTTTTTACATGCTCATACTACATCTACCACTACCAGTCTATTATACTATCTTCCTTATTGTTCTTATCGAGGTGCGTTTGTTCTTGTGATCAGTCATCAACAACGACTACTGCGATAAGTCGTTACTGTAAACTGTTGTAATGTGCCATCACCATGAACCATTATGACGAATCATTACCCTCAACTATTAAAATGTGTCGTCAACGTAAACTATTCTGAAGAGTCATTACTATAAATTGCTACAATGAGTCATCAAAAGAGCTTACGCTAATGAGTCAAGTTGAAACGCAAACTGTTATGAATAAAAGTCACCACTATAAATTGCTGCAATGAGTCATCAAAGTAGTTTCTGGTGATGTGTGGTCTCAGTAAACTATTACAATGAGTCATCGCCGTAATCTACAACTCTCCTTTACACAGGTTCCAGGTGGCGGGCTTCCAACTGGCTCACCTACTGTTGGCCTTTGTCCTGTCAGCAAGCTTTGTGTTTCTGCTCTACTGGCTCTGGACCTGGCCTTGTGGGTAAGACATTTTGTGCTCAGTAATAAGAAGCACATCGATACAACAACGGTTATTTAGTACACGAGAAAAGCAGCACAGACAGAAAGAAGAAACAGATGAGGTTTTGAAAAGAACTATGATCTACTTGTGGCATCCTCCATCCACCCGCGGGAAGGCAGTTTAAGTTTAAGTAGTAGGACATTTTAAAAAAATTATATAAAGTTATTTTAGTTACAAAAAGCACATTGACATTGTTGCAGCAATTTGAAGTCGAGAAAAAACATCAAGACATAGAGACAGAATTACAAGAGCATAACAGGGATGTAGGACTTCAACTAATGGCGCCCTCCGATAAGCCCCATACAATACATAATAGTCACAGCTTTTTATAACTAACAAAAACGTTTATTCCCGACCGGTTTAATCTAAAACAATTTGTTATGAAGGAGAGTAGTCCTGGAACCAGAAATAATTAATTATTGAAGAATTGCTCAATTTATTAATTATTGAAGAATTGCTAAATTTATTAATTATTGAAGAATTGCTCTGTTATATAAACACACGTGCCGAGCAGCCAAGAAGAATTCAAGAAGCAGCACGAAGTTCAAGGAGTCATAAAACGAGCAAAACTTCTTGAAACTATACACTATCTACGGTATATGTTTTCGTCTCACCATTATTACTGTGAGAGTCGAGCAGTGTACACTTCCAAAAGGTCTTTATCCCCAAATGTTTTATCTGAATGTTGGATTCAACAAGCTTTTCGACACAGTCATTATTTATAGTTATCTATTTTCTTAAAACAGACACCAGTTTTCTGGAAAGAACAGGAAGATTAACGTTTTACGTTTCAGGTCTATTTTTAAGAATATAATAAAACATAAAAATCCACACAACCAGTACAGTTGAATATAAACCAAAGAAAAGATAAACTAAAAGCCTTAAGAAATGGTGTGGATGGTTGGAGGGCATCTTCTTCCAGGATAAACAAAGCTAGCTCTATATTTATTTGGTGGACTGAGAACTAGAGTTTGTGATGTCTCTGGTATACGTACAGAATCAAAACTTAGTGTGTATAGTGCTGTTGTTTTAGTAACCTTTTTATATGAAGTTGAGTCATAGACAGGGTGCAAAACACACGTCAACATCTTCAACAGGTTTCTTCTCTCCTGTCAGAGAAGAGTATAGGGGATCTGCTGGAGGGATAAGAACCCAGGCACTGAAGTTCGCGAGAGGGCGAAAGCCCGTAGTCCCATATTCTTCTTTTTTTTCTTTTCTTTTTTTTTTTTTTTTGGTTTGCTTTTTGAAAGTGTTTAATTACGCTCGCAACTGCACGAGGTCATATGAGCGCGCGGTGCACATTAAACATTTTCAGTTGGAAGGAAATTTTGAATTTTGCTCCGGTGCTGCCGAAGCCTACTCTTATCGATTTTATACCACTATGGGATCTTCAACGTGCACAACTTGCACACGGGACCTCCGACACAGAACATTCCCTGAGAGCAGGAAAGAAGGTGAAAGGAGACAATTTTAGAGAAGAAAATTAATCCGCCGCTACCCGGATTCGAATCCGGGACCTTTGAATGAGAAGCGAACACTTTAACCTCTAGGCCACGAGAGCCCTTGTAATGCCTTCTGCCACCTGAAGAAAACCCAGCTTAGAAGGGAGGGATGCTTGATCCGAATGCCAGACACACGGCTTCCCAGAGATATTTTGTACTCAGAATTGGCATGTGGAAGAGGGAACATTGATGCCTCTCGCACCATCCACCCTCCAAAGAAAAAATACACTCTGCATGAAGACTTCTCTGAAAGATTGTTTCATTGATGTGGATAACCCGGAAATACTCTGTCTTGATGGATCACAGTGGCGCTGAGCTGTGGCATGTAATGCAACGTTTTTGAGAAAAACCTAGTTTGTAAAGCAGAGAAAAACAGAACCCCCCGTGGCGATGCTACTGACTGAAGTGTCTTTAGGCGATTCCCGAAGAGGGGACATTAACATGTTCTAATGCACAGTAGAATTGTAAATGGGCTGATTCATCAATGTCTTGCTCATAACTGTGCCTGAACTGCAACAGGGAACTGCTGTTTTTTCTTTCCTTATCCTTACTATCGCCATTTTCTCTCTACTCCTTTTGTATGTTTGTCACATTCTTGTGAGCCGCTATTTCCGGGGTGCCTTGATAGTCGAAGCAGACTTTGTGATGTTAAAGATAAAGAGGTGAGCAGAGTAAGCCTGATTCCCTGTAAGGACTTCTCAGTTGACAACCACCCCTTGGCGCTCATATGACCGTATGCAGTTGCGAGCGCCGTAAAACCTCTACTAAATCTAAACTAGAGATAATCAAAACTGTCAAATACCGACATTGACATAGGCCGAACAGACCACAAAGTGTCCTGTTTGTGGTAACGCCTTCTAGCGAAGCCATAAGAAGGTTTAGCCAATTAATTATATTATATTTAGGCTGAAAATCGCACCACTTTAAGAAAAGGGAAGGCTCTGCTTTGGCAAGATGTGGCGTTTGTGATTATTACAATTGCTTGCTATTATTTCCTTTACTTAACTGGTCTCTCTGTACCTTGCAAGTTATCTGAGGTAACTAGCAAGGTCTTTTTCTTTTCTTTTCTTCATCCTTGGATCTTAAAGGTGGTAACCAGTTTGTGGTGGGCAAACTATTATCATAGTTTCAAGTTTCAGGTTGTTGTTTTTTTAAATCTAAAAACATTTAACTCAGTCCGCACAGCTGAATGTTAAATGAAGCAAAGGTGTGTTCAAAGCTATGAGACGCACGTATAGTTGAGGGGGGGGGGGGGGGCCCCCACGGGGGGTAGATTCTATTTCTTTCTTTCTTTCTTTTTTTTTTTACCTTCGGTCGTTTCTGTCTGTCTTGCCTTCCAATGACCCTTATTGTACTGATACGCTACGCTTTCACTCCCAAAAATCTTTTGAAAATATGGTGAGATGAAAGACATAATAAAGAAGATAAAGATCAAGCAGCTGCTTGATTTCCTGAAAGTGTGTCCAATCCATCGCCAACGTCTTCTCCCCACCTCATCTCTGACTGGGCTCTGTCTCGTTCTTCTTAATACTTCCTCGTTGGTGATCCTGTCTGTCCATTTGTTCCTCAGCAGCTTCCTCAGACTCTTGTTTAAGAAAGCCTGGATCCTCTTTAAGCACGTCTGGGATGCGTTGCACGTCTCACATCCATACAACAAGACTGACTTCACATTTGAGTTGAAAATTCTAAGCTTTGCTTGTAGTGAGATATCCCTGGTCCTCCAAATCCTGTTCAAAGAAATAAATGCAGCCTGTGCCTTTCCAGTGCGGGACTTAATTTCAGCGCGTGTTCCTTTCTCTCTGTCAATTATACTCCAAAGATAGCAGAAGGATTTGACGTCTTCTATTTCATTTCCTTGTACTGTGACCAGCTCCTTTCGTTGTGCATCTATCCTTAGGACTTTTGACTTTTGACTCAATCCAACAGACTGATAGGCTGTTTAAAATTGTTGTCTTTGCTTGCATCTGTCCCTGAGTGTGTGACAGAAGCGCCAAGTCATCTGCAAAGTCCAGATCGTCCAGATCTCTCTCTCCCTCCCTCCGTTCCCCCCTCTCTCTCACCTCTCTCCCCCCCCCTCTCTCTCTCTCTCTCTCTCTCTCTCTCTCTCTCACACACACACACACACACACAAACACATATGTATACATATACATGAATACACACATGCACATATAAACATTCACATACACTTACACATATATATACGCAAAGATGCACACTCACATTTCTTTATTTATACATGCACCCCCATACCGTGCATACAGCAAGGCATTTTGTGTGTGTGTGGGGGGGGGGGGGGGGGGGGGAGGGGGGGGGTAAGACACAAGAACTGGGGAGAAAATTGACTTATTAACTTAAACTAATCCACTTAGATTGTCCTTTATCACGTATAACCATTACATTATACTGTTTTCCGCTGTTCGACGCACAGGGAATCCAGCCAAGGGGCGACAGCGACAAGATGTGATACCGTGTTACCCAGACAGACAGTTAAGCCCCTTTACGCACTAGAGCTAGAGCCAGGCATTGTTGTGCTACAGAGCGAGGACGGGTCGTTCTTTAGGTAGGTATTCGATGTTAAATAGAATGATACATTCCAAAAGTTTTATGCCTCCATCGACAACATTTAAGGTAATTTCAGAAGCGGACTTTTTCAATACTTCCTGCTGGAACTAAGCTGGGCCACATAGGATACACCCCAGTGCACAGACCAAGATGCTCGAATTAGATATCTTCCCCGCACAAGACCCGAACTCACACCTTTTGTATGCAAGGCAAAGAACTTAGCCATTACACCACAGATAGTTGTATGGTACGGTATGTTACGGTACGATATGTACATTCGGATGGAAAAAACCCCCAACCTACATGAATTTTTTTTAAACCAAAGAGAAGCCAAGTTTTTGTCGTTATTCGCAGGATTCTCCGCGAGTACGAGTCAGCTGACAAGCGAGGCCATGGCATGGCGGCCCATGAACTTCCGCCTGGAGGAGCAGGGGCGAATGGTCAGAGTGGTCACTACTACCTGCCCTCCTACACTAAAGCCCACTTCCAAACCCAGCCCACAGCTCCACTGCTCAACGTCTCTGAAGGCAGCTCTGACCCTTTCGGTGACGGAGCCCCGTGGGCCCCAATACAGACTCTGGGCCCAAATTAGCATTAACAGTTTCGGGGTATTTTTTTTTAGGTGTTTGGTGTTGCATAACGGTTATACATGTCGTCACGATTAACATTCTTATGTCATTCATGTTTCCGCCTTTTTTTGTAGTGTGGTTCAAATTAGTAATTCCTATCTTTTTGTTGCGTGCTGTTAAAATCTTAAGGGCCACTTGTGCACCGGGCTAAAATAGAAAGTTCTATTTTTTAATGATATATTTCTCAAACCTCAAAACAAATTGTTTTTACTTTTTACTTATACTGTTGCCTTGTGACTTATCCTTTCACCCTTTGACTGGACAAGCTCTTATGAAGTAGAAACAAATGTTATACAGTGCATTCTAATGCGAAGTGGAACTTTCGTTGTTTAATCTATGCCATATTTTTGTACAAACACAAATGTCAGAAATGTTCCAGTACTTTCCCGCTTGGGTTGATAATAGCCATGACCTATTTGCCTATATGGAACAAACCTGTGGAATAGTCACTCGGCGGTAACCGGGAATGCAGAAGTACCAAAGTAATCAAACCCTATAGAACCCCTTGGGCTATCAATCTTATTGGTTAGACCGAGTTGAGAAATGTGTAATTCAAAACACACTTGAAAAAGAATACACCAATGTGGGCAATCAAATAGATATATAGAAAATCAATTTTATTGATTCTTGCTGGAAAAGTTTGGTTACAACGGCGAGTACAATGCGCACATAACAATATACTAGTTCAAAACTTACAGCTACATAACACAATATACTATAATGTCATATGAAGACAATCTAACAAACGTAGCACCGTCAGTAGTAGTGCCTGTATAAGAGGTAGGCTTTTCTCCAAGGACACACCCCAATGACTATCACCCTAAACTCTGTGCTACCAACACTGATGTTATTTATGAGCATTAACATTTTTTGTAGTTAACCCCCCCCCCCGTCCCCCCGAGTAACACTACTGGTGTAGTGTCTTCCTGTGGTTATACAGGTGGTCAACATAATCTAATTATTTTCGGAGAAGATTTCCGAACAAGACAAGTTATTTTTGCCTCTACGCACGTTCAGCAGTCCCACATTTTGTCCTCGTGAAGACACGAATTTTATAACCCCTATGGAGAACTCACAGACTGGAATAAAGAGAGAGGACGCAATATTGAACTGTTTGTGTTCTCGTTAGTTTCTCAGTTTTAATGCATCTATTATTTTCAGATTTTCCCCTGCATTCACCCCCCCCCCTCAACCAAACCCTTTCTTGTTTGTCTTGCTTTACTGTCAGTGGGTGATACATCGGGGTTGTATCTCATCTGTTTGCACTCTTATGACTATTGTTATAACAATATTATAGGTTGCTTCTTTGGAGTGATTACTTGTTTGTGCGTCCTGTGTGTGTGTGTGTGTGTGTGTGTGTGTGTGTGTGTGTGTGTGTGTGTGTGTGTGTGTGTGTGTGTGTTGAGGCTACAGTGTTGGAGTGTTGAGAAGAGGGAGGGGGGGTGATGATACATGTATTAACGGGACGGGTTAAAAAGAAGTTTGGTATTAGTTAGAGCTTTGTAGCACTTGCAACACGATCAGGTCTTATAAGAGCCGAAATTTAGACGTGGTACTACATGTGAGTATAACATACAAGCAAAAGAAGAAGCAGAGAAAAAGACAATAGATGACGGGTAGAAAATATGTCTGTTTTGTTTGAGTAAAGAGAAACACATTAGCACAATACTGATCATTTAGTGCTGGGAAAATGTTAAGACATACAGAAACGACAGAGGGGCAAGGGGATTAAAAGTAGTTCTAAACTCCTTGCAGAGGGGGAAAGTAAAGTAGCAGGACCTACCAGAGGTATCCTTCCACCACCCGATCTGATAGGAAAGAAGGAGCAAACCACACCGGAGCATCCGCCAACCACCCACTGGGAGGGGCAGGCGTTGATGATATGATTGACGTGAGGTGTGAAATAGAAGAAGCAGGCTGCTCCAAACAGGGGAACACAGACTGAGATTGGAGGAAATTGGAGGAGGCATACCCGGGATAAATCAGAGTTCTCAGACAGCCAGGACCACGTCTCTCTCTCTCTCTCTCTCTCTCTCTCTCTCTCTCTCTCTCTCT